GATGGGCTGGTAGTTAGAGCTTACTTTGTATCCTCCCAGTCCAAAATTTCCTGTTTTAATACAGTTACTATATATCCATATGTTGTTTCTATATTTACATATGTTGGAAGAAATTTTCTAAAACTGTTTTTTTAAAAAATTAAGCTCTGTATTATGTAATATTATCCTGAATGCTTTACATATGAAATTAATTCATTCAATTTGAATAGAAGTTTTCCAGAGTCAATCAGGGGAAAACCCAGGCAATCTTCAGTTACCACCTCACAATTTCTTTACTTATTATTTCCATATCAATGGATATTTAAGTTTGTTATTCATTTCTTCCTTTTTAATTTCTTTTTTTGCATTACAAATAATGCTACAGGGGAATAACTGCATAATGTCACCCTGAGGAGCTCCCCTGACCCTCTTCTTATGGAAAAATCATAATAGCTAAAAAAATTATTTATAAAATCCCAACCACTTTAAGTTTTTGAACATTAATTTAAGGGCATAGAACAAATTAAGAAACTTATTTTTTTAATCTACTAAATCTTGGTAAAAAGCAGCCAGAGTCTAAATCATTTTCCTTTTCAAGTCCCCAGGTCAGTGGGCCAGAAGCTCTGTTCTAGGCATGTGAAGCCAAGAGCACTGTCCCTAAATTCCAGTTGAAAGACACAGTATCTCTCGGAGGGGGAAAGGCTATCAGTTCTTCTCATACTCTTCCCCAAAACTCCATGCTACAGAAGCTCTATTCTAGGCAAGAGTGACGGAGAAGTCTGCGAATATCCTTCTCCTTCTGGCCCCCACTTGTAGGGCAGGAATTTTTTTTCTCAAAAGGATGAGAATACTGAGCCAGATTGGCTTCATCCCAGCTGGTTTATAGAACAAAGTTCCAACTCTGGGAAAGATTAACCTCAAAGATCATGAATGCCCTACACAACAGAGTTGGAGGTGGCAAGCAATTAAGAGGAGACTGTATCTCCATGAAAACAATCGCTAAACTGCTGGCTAGCTAGAAGTTTTCCAGGGTCAATCAGGGGGAAAAGACAGCTAAAAAGAGCCTTCTCAAGGACAAACAAAATTCAAGGACTGGCCTGAGAAGGGCTGGGAACTTAACTGGGTCAGACTGTCCTACAATTTGTTCCCCAGGGCATTGTTGAAAATAATAGAACAATCAGTCCTTAAAGACTCCTTACTTTTTACCCTCTGCTTCCTATGTCCACTTTTTATTTTATTTAACAAGTGTTACCTTCATGTTCCTTTTTTTTTTTACCCAGATTAAATGTAATGAATCCTTTACTTTTTTAGTTTAATACATCAATAAACTCAAGTATATTGGGACAGGGTAGAGTGTGGCTTACTCTCAGGAAGGTGAAGGATAGGATTACTATCCAATTGACCTTTGGTCACCACCCAGTTTATTGTGTTCCTTTTTGGTCTCTTATCTCCTGGGCCCTTGCTTGTTTGTGAACAGGCAATAAATCTCTGACCTTGCTCACTGAATCACTCTTGCACAATATTCTTTTTTTTTCTTTTTTGTTATTTGTGCATATTTATGGTGCATTATTATTATAATAGTGGAATTTATTATCATTTATTTATAAATGCACAAAATATAAAATATAATTTGGTTAATTTTGTTCCCCAGTACCTCCACTTTCCCTCTTTTTCTCCCCTTGGGTTGCCTTCCTCTACTCTGCTTTTTTTTCTTCTATTTTTATGAGACTCCCTCATTCCCTCTTTATTCTCTCTAGTTTCCACCTATGAAAGAAAACACACAAATCTTGACTTTCTAAGTTTGGCTTATTTCACTTAACATGATGCTCTCAAGTTCCACCTGTTTTCCTGCAAATGATATAATTTCATTTTTTAAATTTAATTTGTTCTTTTTAGATATACATGGTAGGTAGTAGAGCGTATTTTGGCAAATTATACATACATGGAGTATAACTTATTCTATTCAGGATTCTTCACTCTTGTGGTTGTACATGATGTGGTGTTACCCTGACTAGTTCTCTTCCCTTTATTCCCCCCTTTCTAATCCAATGGGCTTCTATTCTTCCCCTCCTCACACTCCCTTGTTGTGGGTTAGCATCCACATATCAAAGAGAACATTTGGCCTTTGGTTTTTTGGGACTGGCTTATTTCACTTAGCATGATATTCTCCAGTTCCATCCATTTACCAGCAAATGCCATAATTTCATTCTTCTTTATGGCTGAGCAATATTCCATTGTGTGTGTGTGTGTGTGTGTGTGTGTGTGTGTGTGTGTATATATATATATATATATATATATATATATATAACATTTTCTTTATCTATTCATCTGTTGAAGGACACCTACACTAGTTCCATAGCTTGGCTATTGTGAATTGAGCTGCTATAAACAATGATGTGACTGGATCAATGTAGGATGCTGATTTTAAGTCCTTTGGGTTTAGACCAAGGGTGAGAAAACTGATCAAATCATGGTTGCATTCCAAGTTTTCTGAGGAATCTCCATACTGCATCTCCAAACTGCTTTCCATAGTTGCTGCAACAGCAATGTATGAGAGTAACTTTCTCCCCATATCCTTACCAACATTTATTGTTACTTGTATTCTTGATAATCAGAATTCTGACTAGAGTGAGATGGAATGTCAGTGTAGTTTTAATTTGTATTTCTCTAATGGCTAGAGATGTTGAACTTTTTTTAACATAGTTTTGACCATTTGTATTTCTTCTTCTATGAAGTGTCTATTCAGTTCCTTTGCCCATTTATTGATTAGGTTATTTGTCTTATTTATTTATTTATCTGGTGTCTTTTTTTTTCTTTTTTTAGTTCTTTGTATATCTTGGAGATTAATGCTGAATCTGAGGTGCTGGTGGTAAAGATTTTCTCCCTTTCTGTAGGCTCTCTGTTCATGTTCTTGATATTTTTCTTTGCAGTGAAAAAGTTTTTTAGTTTAATTGATTCTTTATTTTATTTCTTGCACTTTAGGAGTCTTATTGAAGAAGTCATTTCCTAAGCCAATATGATGAAGAGTTGGGCCTATTTTTTTCTTCTAGTAAGCACAGGGTAAATCTGTCTAATGCTCCTTGATCCACTCTGAGTTGAGTTTTGTGCTGGGTGAGAGATAGGGGCTCAGTTTCATTCTACTACATATGGATTTCCAGTTTTCCCAGCACCAATTCTTGAAGAGGCTCTCTTTTCTTCAATATATGTTTATGATGCCTTTTCTAGTATGAAATAACTGTATTTATGTGGGTTACCTCTGTGTCTTCTATAAAATTCCATTGTGTTTATATATAGCATTTTCTTTACCCAGACTCTATTTTGGGGGGAGTACCAGGGATTAAACCCAGGGGTGCTTAACTACCTGATCATATCCCATATTTCTACGATGTGACAGATCCTGGACTAGCAAATGAGACCCAGTGGTGAGCAAAAATAGGTAAGTCCCTGTTTTTCTTGGAGGTTGCATGAGTAAGCTTCAAAGAACAGGAGTTCCTAGATCCAAGATTGGTCCATCTTCCTAAAGTTCTCTGAGAGCTCCTGTTGTCTCCAAGGTAGTCATAGCTGAGAATCTAGTCTAGATTGGCCATTTTATTCACTGATCTCAATTATTCTATAATGTCAGTCATTACACTGTCACCTTCTGGGGATAGAGGAGGGTGTTTCCATGGTGATGTAGATATCTATGGGAAAAAATCCTCACCAACCTGTCTTACTTGGTTTTGAAACTAGTTAGAGTCAGGGGGCCAGTCATGAAGCAAACTCTTTCCCTTTTCCAATTTATATATGACATGCCAGTCTTTTTAAAAATAGTGTTATTGAAGTATAATTGATATTCAACAAACTGACAGAGTTATAATTCACAATTTGATAAGCTCTCAGGAGAAAATAGAGCAATTAAAAGGAGAGCAACAAAAACCTAAGGCAAGTAGAAGAAAGAAAGAATAACAATTAGAGTAGCAACCAATGCAACTGAAAATAGGAAAATGGTGAAGAAAATCAACAAAGTCAATAGCTGGTTCTTTGAAAAGATCAATAATTTTGATAATCTTTAGCTGGGATAACCAAGAAAAAGAGAGAAGACAAATTACTAATACCACAACTGAATGAAGGACCATCCTATTGATTCCATGGTCATATGAATAATAAAGAAATATTATAAACAGGTCTATGTCTATAAATGTGATAACTTGAATGAAATAGAACAATCTTTCAAAGATATCATTTGTCTAGGGACTGGGGTTGTGGCTCAGCAGTAGAGTACTCACTTAGCATGTGTGAGGCCCTGGGTTAGACCCTCAGCACCATGTAAAAATAAATAAAATAAAGGTATTGTGTCCAACTACAACTAAAAGAATAAATATTAAAAAGATATCATTTGTCTAAACTTACAATAAAAAATAGATAATGTGAACTGGTTCATTTTTTAAAAGAAATTAAATCAATAATTAATAACTTGCAAAACAGGAGGCACCAGACTTAGATGTTTTCACTGGTGTATTCTACCAAATGCTTAAAGAAAATATACCCATTTTCTATAATCTCTTCCATAAAATAGGAACAGAGGGAACTTTTTCTAACTTACTTTATGATACTAACATCACTCTAATACAAAAGAAGAGATAAGAAAGGGAAACCCAAGACGAATACCTTTCATGGATATAGATACAAAAGTCTTCAACACAGTATTAACAGGTCAATTGCAACAACATATACAAAAAATTACATATGATGACCAAGTGGAATTTCTCCTAAATGTGCACAGCCACAATATTTGAAAATCAATTGATGACTATATGCATATATAACATACTACTATACACACATACATTGTATATACATACACATATGTCCATATGTATATATATGTCCACTATATATATGTCCATATTACATCATACAATGTGAAAAATATTTGAAAGTGACAAGAATCGAAACAAGAAGAATGGAAATGGATAAAATAGAAAAGCAGGCTAATGGGTGGGTGCTGATAGAGGACTGTATCAGTGTTTGTTGTGTTTTACCATATTGTTCAGATTAAAAGGCTGCAGTGGCAACTCATTACAGTCCTCGTGAGGAAGTGCTAAGGCTCTTTTGACTTTGCCCTGGTTCAGTGTGGCCAGTGGGGCTGTAGCTGATAAGAAGAGAATTTGTTCATTCATTGCCCTTACAGCACTAACGGAGTATCACTCAAGCTGTCTTCTAGACACTGAAGATATAGCAGGGAAGGAGACAAAGCCCCAGCTTTTGTGAAATTTTCACTCTGGTTGGAGACAGCTCATAAAGAACTATTAAAAAAACAATCAGTCAGGCATGGGGGCTCACATCTGTAATCCCAGAAGCTTGGGTGGCAGAGGCAGGTGGACCATGAGTTCAAAGCCAGCCTCAGCAACTTAGTGAGGCCCTAAGCAACTTACCAAGACCCTGTCTCAAAATAAAAGATAGAACAGGCTGGGGATATGGTTCAGTGCTTAAGTACCTCTGTGTTCAATATCTGGTACCAACAAACAGACAAACAAACAAACAAAGAACTATCAGATAGTCCTAAGCACTATTTAGAAAAAATAGAGTAATGTGACAGCTAGAGACAGGTGACCCCTTGAAATTTGGCGGCCTAGGAGTGTCTCCCTGTACAGGAACAGTAATTTATATCTGAATGCTAAGAAGTACCCAGAAATGCCCGTCACAGTTGAGGGAAGAGGGAAGAATTCCTCATGGAAGAACTAGATAGTGTGAAGACCTAAAATGGGAGGACTCTTGGCATGGTCACATGACCAGGCTGAATGGGTGAAGGTGAGGGAGGACCAGGGTGATATTTGGCAGTTGGAGGGCAGAGAACAGCAGGGCAAGGGATTTTTCAAATTAGAGTGAGTGTATCTATTACTCAACTGAAGTACTTTGATCAACCTCTCCCTCTCCCTTCCACGCCACTGCTCTGCCAGCATCCGGTAGCCACCATTGTGCTCTTGATTTCTATGAGATCAACTTTATTTAGACTCCATGTATGAGTAAGACCATGTAGTATTTTTCTGAATTTGAGTTTTATTTGGTTTGATTAGAAGTCACTGAAGATCTTTTTTTTTTCTAATCAAAGATTGAGATAATCTTTTTTTTTTTTTCAGTTAACTTTCCCCATCTTCCTTGAAGACTATGGATTGTAACTAGAAGAGAGGAAGTCAGGGAGACTGGTTAGGAGGTCCTCATAGTGGACAGGCTGATATATGACAGGGGCTTAGATCAGTGATGTTAGAGAACAAGGAGAACAGATGGAATTTAAAGTTGAGTTGTTGAAATAAGCTGCTTAATGAGAAGAGACAAATAAAAAAGAGATGATTGAAATGATGATAATATCTTTTGAGAGTTGACTTTGTGGGCACATGGTAACTCAGTCTGCTTAACCATACCCTGGGGTGGGCACTACTAGAATCCCATTTTACAAATGAAGAAATTGAAAGGTGAACTAAACTTTAACAACTAAGTAAAAATTGGGTAATATTTCAATTTTGGGTTCTGCTGTTTGTCAAAATGAGGAAAAATCAAGGAAGAACAGGTTTGGGTGGAAAATAAATATTTTTTTGGAGACATTAAATTTGATGCTCTTGTTAGATATATTAACTCTCCAAGCGGACATGTTGAGCAGATAAGTGAACATTAATGTTTGGTGTTTTAGGAAGTGGTTATCACCTAGCAAGAGGAGTAGTAGAGGATAAAGACATCCTAGGGGAATCTTGGATATAACAAAGCCTAGAAGTCTGTCCTGAGTAAGCTATGCCATTAATATGGACCAAACATATTCTGTCTTTTCATAGTGTCATAATTTACTGAATAACAACAAATTGATAAGCTACATCACTTTCATCAGTTGCTATTCAATGAGTACTTGTGGGTCAACTGGTAGTCCTAAACTGGGCAATCACAAGTTCTTTTATTCCAGTCTTAACCACTACTATGTATAACACTCAAGTCACACAATCACACTTTACACATTAAACATAAATATAAATATATATTATATGCACATTAAATATATATATTTGTATTATATGTGTGTATATATATATATACATATATATATAATATATATATTTTTTTGCAGAAAAGCTAAGAAAGAGTCACTGTCAGTATCAGATAGGACTATAATCCAGCTGAAGAACTTATTCAGGTGTAGAGTTACCAGAGCATAGAGCTTTTTTTGAGACAGGCATCTGGATTACAGGCAGTTTCTGAATGGACCACATCAAGTAGGGAGATGGAGCTGAGCTAAAACCCAAGAACAGAGTTGGAAGTTCATTGCCTGTTGATCTTTTGTCTGGTCATGATGTCACACATGGACCTTACATCAGATTGGGTTGGTGTTGCCGCCCTATCCAGTCTTGGAGTGCTCCTCTTTTCACAGGTCTCAGGTAAGGGGGTTGTTTCATTCTGAGATCTGATGTATTTAATAAGCTCCTAGCCCTGGCTTTTCTCACATGGGGTTGACACACCCTTGTATCCATGTGCTTCAGATTAATTCAGTAATTCACAGGTGTCATTTTTATTATACAATTGATATATTTATCAATTTGTACCTTAAGGTTGTTCTAGGCAGATGGTGGTTGTTGACTTGTACAAACAAAAGGTAGAGTCATTCTGCCTTAGCACTTAATCTCAAAATAAAGTAACTCATGGCAAACGACTGCTTTGTAAAATGGAGTAACTCAGGCTTAGGCACACACTGAAAACTAGCTCTTCTATTCATCATGACATAGCTCAGAGCAGGGCACAGCCTGCTTTCCATAAAGTCAAAAAGAGGAGAAGGAGCCAACCAGAGTTCTGAATTAAAGACTAGTCCAATGGAAAACAAGGAGGGAGATCTTCATAGGTATCAAGAGGACAGAGATTCCCACCCCTGGTGACTAACATGCATTATGTTGCATGGATTGAGTATGAGAAGTTAGGGATGGAGGGACAGGAATGTGTGCTTGGGGCTATGCAGATGTTCAAAAGAGTTCTCAGACACTGAGAGCTTAAAGGTCAAGTCCTGGAGAGTACATACTGAAGTTGAAAATATAGCAAGGAAGCAGATCATTGTTAGCAAATCTGAGCAAGTCCATAGCATGACTGGGGCCGGCAAGAGAGCCTGCAAAAGTGGTAAAATAAAGATAATAAGACTTTTTTTTTTTCCTCCCTCAAGGTGTAGGAGATAAAAAATGGAAAGTCTGGCATCACAAAAGACATAGGAGAACAGATTTCCAATTAGGATGGGGGGGTTGGAGAGTTGGATTTGTGGAGGTAGAAGCAGATAAGACCAGAGAAAGGACAGCTGGAGTTGTCAGTGTGGAAGTCCTGGTGTCCTGGTGATCTCCAAGTACCCGGCTCCGAGGCCAGAGAGGAGGCTGACTGTGCTGCATTGGGAGAATAGAAGCTGGAGAGGAGACGGCCACTGAGAACTTAATGGAGTTCCAGCTGCGTTCAGATTTGTGGTGTTTTTCTTTGAAGGTACGTATTGTTTCTTGCTAACGCCATGGTTCTAAACCAAGCCATTTTCAATAAGTAAAATGTCTCAGCAATCATTTAAGTAGGTATAGACTGGCTCTGTTTTTGTAAATGACTACAGATAATACCTCATCCGGTGAGCATTGATGTCGTGTTTAGTTGTCCAATATTACAAACAATGTTCCAGAGGAGGTGTTGTATTTACATTCTCAAAAATTCTTGTATGTTTTCAGGACAAATTCATAAAAGTAGAACATTTAGGTGGAATGGCATTTTCTTCTCTTTCTTTTTTTTTAATGTACTGATAAATGTGACTCAATTTCTCTGCCCAGAGTCCCTGCTGCCTGTTCACCAGGACTTCTGTTCCCCTGTTTGCCAATTCCAAGCTTGTGATCATTTTTGCCAGGTGAACAGGTGAAAAATGATGGCCTTGACTTCAATTTTTTAATCGCATTATTTTAAATCACAACAGCGATGTTGTGATGTTTTTTAAAAAGCTACTTGCATTTTTTTCCCCTAAATCATGTCTATCACCCAGATTTTTTTTTTCTATAGGGTAGTTGGCTCTTGTCAACTCATACATGCCCACACATTAAGGGAAGGGGGTGTCTGTATAGCAGTTATGTTGCTAGGATTTCTCTCATCTTTCCCCTTATCTTTTGATTTCAAGTATAGTATTTTTATCATGTAGAAGTGTTTGTTTTTAAAAATGTAGTCAGAATTCTCAATTTGTTTTCCCAAGGGTTCACAGCTTTGTATCATGTCTAYATTGTCTTTGAATTCTTTTCTGGTTGAATTTTTGCTTTCATAGTTTTGACTATCTGATGCTTATTTTGCTATGAGAAAGAAATAGACAGAGATCTAACTTCATTTCCCCCGTAGCTATCCCATTTGCTAACTAATCTACCTTCCTATTGAACTGAAATGCAAACTTTATTAGTAAAATCCTCTATCATCTATTATCTATCTAATTATATTATGATATTGGGCCCTCTTGTGGTTCTGTTAATCTACATTTTTGAAACTTCAGAAGCTTAACTATTACTTTCAATAAATTTTAGCCCAAGTCCCCCTACTCCCTACCTTTTCTTTTTTCACATTTTTCCTAGCTATTCTATTTTTATTTTTATTGATTGATTGATTGATTGGTGCTGGGGATTGAACCCAGGGCCTTGTGCATACAAGGCAAGAACTGTACCAACTGAACTATATCACCAGCCCATATAGCTCTTCTTTTAATTTTAGTTTTCATTATAATTGTGGGAATCAACTGGCCTAGCCAATTATAACAAAAAGTTCTGGTGGTAACTTGGTTAGGATCATATCAAACCTGCTCCTCTCAGTCTTCCACATCCCAGAGATGAGAAGACCATCCTTCTAACTTCCCTGACTAAGAACTTGTGAATCATCCTTGTTTCCTTTATTTCTTACGCTTTAAAAGTAAATCAGCAAATCCAGTTGAGTCTACCTTTGAAACATTCAAAGTCTAATCATTTCTCACTGTCTCCACAGCTAATATACTTTCACAACTCACCCTGACCTCTCAGATGTATTGTTGCAAAATCCAGGTCTACCTGCTTCTGTGATTGCCCTATGAACATTCATGCACATCCCTGCCAGAGCAGTTCTTAAAAACAAAATCAGATCATATCATAAATTGCTCAGATGGCTGCCTACTGGCCTCTCT